GGATGTTTTTACAGAGGAGGTTGGCAGAATAATTACTCTTGTGCTCTTTAAATGCTTCTAAAGCTGATGAAGAGGTTGAGGAGCTGGGGATGAGAAGGAATATTTGTGTGATTTCTCCAGGAATGCAGGTTGCCTAATCAGTAGATATCATCACCAGTTTTGAAAGTTGTGTTTTATTAATTAATATACATATATAATGAATCACTCTTTAAGTTATAAATTGGAAATTCGAAAGGCATAAATAATTTTCACTACTATTTGTATTAGATGCTTCTCCATTTAAATGTATCATTTTACTCAGGAAACTGGGATATATTCCATTAAATCCGTGGGCTGCACCATCAAAAAACCCCAAAAACAAACAAAAAAAACCCCAAACCAAAACCATACACCTGTCTAATTTATTTTTAACTTCTCATGGGAAACAAAACCTCAGCAATATGCCACTTTTTTTTTCTTTGTTTTTCCTTTTTTCTTGCCAGGAAGCTGTTGCTCTACAGGTTACCAAGTGGAAAAGGAAGTGCTTTGTTGATTGTTCTTGATACTCTCTCCACCTGTGTTTCTGATACTGTGTTTTTAATTTATGTGGCTGTTGACTCTTAATGAAGTTTGTAAGAATTTAATTTTAAATTTTTATGCCTCATGACCGGTGAGCCCCGAAGTCTTTTGAAAGAAACTGGAGGAAAGGATGAAAGCTGGAACACGATGGAGTCAGAATAATCTTCTGTGCCTGATTTTTCTCAGGAAACATAATTAAACTGAGGCTTGGAAATTTTGCTTGCGTAAAGAGTGTTCAAAATAAGCCTAGAAAAAATGTAAACAGTGCTGATGGCTCCTTGATTTTCTCTGCATTTCATGAGAGCTGTAGCACTTCTCAGAAAGATGGCTTTCCAAAATTTACTTTAAAGACCAACTGAAGAGCTGGTAGGCATGTAGTTAGAAAACTGAGGCTAAAAAATGATGAGCTTCTATTGCATTTTACTTCTGATAAGTTTTTATTTCTTGATCTAGTCTGTTGGAGTCAGTCTTCTGTAGGCTAGTTGATTTGAATGGTTGTGAGGATAGTAGTAGACATCTTAAAAGTACAGTAATGCAAGCAGGAGAGTTAAAAAAACAAATTATGATGACCATGAATTTCCTAATTATATCTGAAGTATGGCAGAGATGATATTTTGTTATTTCTCTACTCCAGGGTAACTGAGCATCAGACTGAAGGACTACTAGCACTGCAACCATAAGAAATAATTACATGGTACTGTTACACAGCCATCTTGTAGTGCCTTAAAATCGCCCAACCACATTACCTACAAACAACCTGCTACTCAGCAAATATTGGGCAGCTCATGATAATTGAAGCTGTGGTAATGATTGAATTGGCTCATCCTGTTCAATTTTAAAACAAAGAAGAGGGAGAGCTCCAAGTAATTCCTTCATTTATTATTTCAGTATTACAGTTCACGGTTTCCCTCTTACTCAGTAGTTTAAAAGCATGCGTGAGCTTCAGTTAACAAAGCAGTTCAGCAGAGCTTGTATACTTGGGATATCAGCTATGGAGTTTCTAGTTGAAATTTGACTCACACTTATTAGGATCAGAGGATGGGCAAGTTTTCAGAAATCTCAAGTCTACTGTGTAGACTTAGCTAGAGCGAACTTCAGGCTTGTCTTTAATGTACAGTTCAGCTGGTGACCACGGCAGTTTGGCTCTTCTTGCAGGATCTACCCTTATTATCAGCAGAGCTACAGGGAATACCAAATTCTCCTCCTGGCTGCAGTGGCCCTGGGTTTGCCAGATGGGCCTTGGCCATGTAAAGGATGATGTAATCCATTATTTCACTTCTGTTCAGCGCAAGAGAGAAGTTTTCATTTACTAGGGATGGCTTCTTATCTTCCATGAGAGTTGTCGCAATTGCATCAGGTCGCATACTGTGTAGCCATAGGGCAAGGCAAAGCAGAAACATAATATACTTAGCAAATTCGTTTTAAGATGGCAGTAAGTCTTGTCAATTACAGAAGGCTACCCCAACGAAGCTGTAAGATTTTGCCCAGAGAAATGCAGAAATACATACAGGCAAATTTTAGAGCTAAAATATAAAAAGTAAAAAATTACAGCTAGGTAAGCTCAAGCCACTGCAATTGGCATTGTATACATTCATTTTAAATTGCTCAGAATGACTGAGAATAGAATGACCATATTAGAACATATCAAAGGTCCGTTTGCACAGCATGCTGTCACCAGCCATGAACAGATGTAGTAATAAGTGTATACATAAATCTAAAGAAGAAGGGGTAAGCATATGCTGATACTTTTTTCCTTTCTCCAACTGCCTTTAGCTCAGGGGACTTTCTGAGCTGGCTGTGGCTTTGTACCTTCAGTGGTGGTGCTTCCGTATCTGATGGATTTTTATTTCACAAAATTTTCCAGTTTCCCTTGAACCCATGTAAAGTTCCTGTATCCACAGCAGTGGTCAGCATGGAGATCTGTGGCCCTTGGCAAGAGGGATTACTCCTTGTGTTTGTTTTTGGCCTGGCTTCTCCAGCCTTTTTTTGCACTTAGAGTGCAAGATGGGGCTAAACCAGAGGTTTATGTAGTGGTATAATAATGTTCCCTGTTTAATTCTTTCACCCTTTCCTAGTAACGCTTAACATCTGATCTGCATTTTTGAGAACTGCCAGGCATTAAACTGCCATTTTCATAGAACTGTTTGTCATAACGTCTTACTCCTGAATGTCATGCTATATTAACCTCAGACCCTGGGGTTTTTCTGTATTTTGGGTTAGCATTATTTCTTCCTAAGTGTATCATTTTATGTTTATCTATGTTTAACTTAATCCACTCATTCTTTTAAGGTCCTACTATAGCTGTAGTCGTTAAGGTGGAGGATGAAAAATGTAATCTTAAAACCATTTTTAATTTGTGTTTATCCTCTAACATAAAACTAGCAAAAATAACATTTGTTCTCAAATTTTATAAAATGTATGGGCTTGTGCATTTAAACTTCCAACACAGCTTTGTAACATTCCTGAATGTTGTTTTAATGCATGTGTGTAATGGACTTGTGTTAGTATAAAACATGTATTAAAACATTAGTATAAAACAAGCATATGGTAGCTTTGTGGCTTTTCTCCAGACTTCTCAGGTGGGTTTTGACCTTGAAACGCTTGGTGTTTTGACCTAAACAGTAGAGAAATGTAATTTACTTGGAACAGCCGTTTCTGTTTGGGCAGGCATGTTTCTTTGAAAATATAGAGTCTGGGGCCTGACCTTGGCAATATACATTGGAACATGAAAATGTTGCCACAAGTGACAGTGGTTTAAAAACATCAGCTTCCTTTTTACTTTAATACTGCAAGCATTGTTTCTACAACATGTGTTTGGCACACTTAACCTCTTTATATCTTTCTCTAGAAATGTCTACAAATGCTGAGCATAAAATTGTAACATTGTTATTCTTTGCTTGCTCTGGGTTTAAATCCTTGAATTACGTACCTTTGGTTTTCTGAATATGGGTGTAAGAACGCACTCATTTGCATTCCCAGAATGGTGCCTGTTTTCAGAAGCCCTTTGGACGTGTTGTGGCAAGGTGAAAGTCCTGAAGCAAGTGAGGACATTTATATTTGTAGGAAAATCATACAGAGACTTGGAAAGAGTTTCAGAATTAGCTCACTATTTTCCAGGCTGCTGCATATTTACTTTTAGAGTATCTCTGCCCAGAAAGTAGTAATCACACTAAAGCTGACACCACAGTATGGCACAGTCCACCGTCCAGATTCAGTTCTGCTGGGAAAATAGACTAAATGTTATTCTGAATCTGAACATCATTAATTTAATTGTGGATAGGGGAGGGAAAGCTATGAGAAGACTGTGGATGTGCATGGCTCTTTTGCATATGGAGCTCTTTTGCAAGACACAGAATGATTTTTTTATTTTTTTTAGCTAGAAATGCTGTATTGAAAAACAGGTAAGAACCAACTGCATAGCTTTGAGCTGTAGTGAAATTGCATACAAGTGAATAATACTGTAAAAATTATCCTCCTTCAAATCCTAATCCCCACCCACAAACCTTTTCCTTATATTCTGAATACTACTGTGCCTGCCTGGAGCAGATTGCTACTTTTATTTCCAGAAATGGGAGAAAACTGATGTTCGTCATTAAATAAATTCCCTGGTGCTGCCCCTACTTTTCTGTAACATCAGCCGCATATGTAGGGCAAGACTGTAGCAGAATCTTTAAACAAAAGAAAGAGACAAAAAGCCTTTTTTGCTTAGGTGGTGTTTCTCAGAGCAAAGGCAGCTTTTGTGGTGGTGGAACAGAACTTCTCTTGTTCTGCAGTGCTTCCTATCCAACTGATGTAGGCTGGTAATGTCAGTTTCACATAGGAATAACACTTTTTTTTGTGTCGGTACAATAACTGTTAGGTACCAAAGTGAAAGTACAGAAATAAATCTTGTGCCCCCAGGATGGGGTTGTAAAAGTACGTATTCAACATAATTAGTTACCTAATTGGGTGCTTAAAGTTAAGTAATGTATATACATATGTAAGTAATTAAATTATATTGGAAAGTATTTTATTTGTCATGGTTTGTGCTTTGCTCCCTACAAATGAAATTATAGGTAGAGTTTATTCTGTAACTATTTGAAAATGCTTGCTTTCTGGGTAATTTCCTTTTTTGGTTTGGGGTTTGGTGGTTTTTTTGTTGTTTTTTTTTTTTTTTTTTCTGGGGAGGTTAACAAAGCTTAAAAAACTACCTGTAAAAAAACAAAGCCAGTGTGGAAAATACAAAAAACATATGCAGAAGGGAGACTTGAAAATAGGTAAGGTATATCTGGCCAACTTTGTTATAGTTAAACACCCTGAGGTCAGAAATCACTGGAAACTGTTTCTGTCTGCTTATAAAAGCTAGTGAACAATGCAGCTCTTTGGACTGAAGTCACCAGCTAACTGTTTTGGAACAGCTTTGTGTAGTAGATTTTTGTGCCGTAATCTCTCCTGTGTAGAAAATGCGGTAATGAGGAGAACTTTAACAGCAACTCTTGTTAGTGAAACCAGCCATTTAATAATGGGGAGAAACTAAGGAATCACACTTAGTACAAAATTGTGTTTCCACTAAATCTGATGATCAAAAAGAGGATGAGCTTCTGCTTACCAATTGGGCCACAGGCAACAAATAGCCTCCAGGAGTATTTGCTGCTTCCAGGTTGCTAACAAAACTGTTTTCAGAAATTTCTGTTTCAATTGGTTACATGTGAGAAAATATTGGGAAAAAAGCAGTGGTACAGTGCCACAGAACTTCTGAAATTAGACCCACCAGACCTGGAAGCAAGGTTGATTTCAGTTCATTCATGGTGAAGGTCCCCGGAATAGCCCACTGAATAGTGAAATTAATGAGTACTTAATTTTAGGCTCAAAGCCTGTCCATTAATACAACAGAATATGCCAAATTTGCACAGGATTAGCAATAGGAAAATGCCAGCACTAGAATTGTGAAGGAAAGACAGACAGCAGGCCGCTAGAGCAGTATGCCAGAGGAGTGTATGAGAATAATTTCCATTTTGTCATTATGCTCATTTCTTGGCCATGGGCCTTTTAGTCTAAATATTTTAAAATACTTTTTCCAGTGCTTGTTTTGATCAGTACCAGTTCCTTCCCTTGCATCAACACTCCCCCCACTGCTTTGGATTTAGACTGTTATTGGGTAACCTTTAACTGTATACCCTATGGAGAAGGGAATAGTCTCTGTGTCTCAGTAGTTGAGGCTAGAAGTAGGGGGTTTAAATTAATACAACCTGTCAACTGTTAAAGAGGAGCTTATCTATTGTTATTGCCTTTTTATAATGCTGCCATTTACTGGTAAATACTAATGTTTGACTAGGGAACAGTTATACTGGCTTGGATTACAGTAACATTACTTAGTACCCTTGGCTGGGTGTGTGCTCTTGTGGACAAGCAAGTGCAGTGTCAGTTGGGCTCACCATGAACTTGATCTGGACCTGTCTTCAGAATTCACTTCTGTAAATCACGTCTACTGCAGTGATTGCTTACTGTCTCTCATGTGTGACCAAGATGTAAACTGTTTGTTACCAGTAAAGATTACAAGGAGGATGCAGGTGAAGTTGTGCTCCGAGTCCCTAGCATTCTGCTGAAAATCCTGACTGTATGTTTTTTAAGCTCAGAGAGCTTTGTTTGCAGGGATGGTATGGTTTTAAGTGGTGAATACTGGTAATAGCTTCAAGGTTAAGGAAATCCTTCATTTTTCTGAGTTATTGAATAATGTATGTGAGTAGCTATAGTGACTTCTGTGCGTGCACATGCGTGTGTGTATGTATGTTTTTGCTGTAACAACTTCAATTACTCTATGTATAACTTTGAGCTTAATTCTTTCATGCCAAGCAATATTTAAGTTCATTTCTTTAGATAGAGTTCTTCTGCTAGTCATTTTAACAGCTACGTACAGTACACCAAAGAGTTCTAAATAATTTTTATTTTCTTTTTTCAGACTTAAATTAGACATTCCTGATAAGGATTTTTTGTTTTCATACTACATGTCTACTACATATTTCAGCATAGGTGGTGTCCTGGTTTCGGCTGGGATAGAGTTAATTTTCTTTCTAGTAGCTAGCATGAGGCTGTGTCTTGGATTTGTGCTGAAGACAGTGTTGATAGTACAGGGATTTTTTTTTTAACTGCTGAGTGTTGCTTACACAGAGTCAAGGCCTTTTCTGCTTCTCACACCACCCCACCAGCGAGTAGGCTGGGGGTGCACAAAAAGTTTGGAGGGGACACAGCCAGGACAGCTGACCCCAACTGACCAAAGGGATATCCCATACCATATGATGTCATGCTCAGCATATAAAGCTGGGGGAAGAAGAAGGAAGGGGGGGACGTTTGGAGTTGTGGCATATGTCTTCCCAAGTGTGATGGAGCCCTGCTTTCCTGGAGATGGCTGAACACCTGCCTGCCGATGGGAAGTAGTGAATGAATTCTTTCGTTTGCTTTGCTTGTGTGCGCAGCTTTTGCTTTGCCTATTAAACTGTCTTGATCTCAATGCAGGAGTTTCCTCGCTTTTACCCTTCTGATTTGTCTCCTCCATCCCGCTGGGGAGGAGTGAGCAAGTGGCTCTGTGGTGCTTAGGTGCCGGCTGGGGTTAAACCATGACAGACAGAATTATAAAAAATGAACCTAGTCATAAATATAGCATGTCTGAGGTTTCATATGTGTAAACTTCTAAAATTTTCTATTGTAATTAATCTATTATGAACACTGTATCAATTATGAGTATTATATATTCTATTATAATATTTTATCAAATTGTCAGAACACTAACTTGGTATGATAGCAGTAACAAACTTCTCTGATTGGGGTATGGATATTAATAAGTTGCTTCTCTTGAAGTTGATGAAAGGATTTTTAGAGTGCTTTAATCCTAACCAGACCTCAGCAGGGGTCTGAACACTGTTCTCAAAACTCTATTTCAATGAAAACCTTGCTTCTTTATTTTTAGAAACAGGAGTTTCAAACATAAAATTACTTCAGGTTTAATACACTGTGTCATAAGGGGAGGTTCTTAGTGTGCCTCTTGGGATGTGGTATTTATTTGTGCAACGTATTTATGCCATCTTTCATAAATTGCTGATTACTTTTATTGTTCTCTCACTCCCTTCTGTCATGTAGCCGTCCTCAGAAGGTGTGTTTATGTCCATTCCTGCCAATACGTCCACTAAAGGTCTCCACCTGCTTGTATATAATTCAGCATCCAGCAGAGGTGAGTAAGGCTGTGGTAATTGTTGGAATTCAGCTAGAATCTTAATGCAGCAAATGGTAGGCAAGAGGAAACAGCTATGCTGTTATCATCATATAATGATTTTTGCTTTTAAACTTGATGACTGAAATGCCGGTTCACCTGAGTTATTGTACCTCTTATTCAGTTCTCTTGAATTATTGTATCTTCTGAAATCACACCTTATTTCTTCAGCTTCCATGCACACAAGACATCTTTTCTTATCTGAGTAGTCCTGCTAGAATCTGAAGTCTATTGCCTTGGTACAAATTGCAAGAATTAATCTTGACATGGTGTCTTACGGAGATGCTTAGAGTTGATCCAGGGAGCAACCTGTTTTGATTATAGCAGTGGTCTTTTACTGATGTTAGTGTTCTGTTAAAAATATGAATTAAGCAGTTTATCTTAGTGATGACCTTAGCTGCTTAGCCAATGAAAAACTATAGTTTAGCTTCAGAACAGTATGTTTTGGTTTACCTACCAGGAGAATTTATGTTGATGTTTTCTTGTCTGTTAACAGTGGAGTATGGTGGTGGATCATAAGGGTTTTAGGAGTTGGACTGCAGTTACACAGATCTGAATAGATGGTGGGTCGATAAATTAGACTGTGGAGTTCAGAAACCTGTACTCTTCTGGTCCAGCTGTTTACTTAGCATTTTACAGTAGCTCAGTCAGCACGCAGAGAGTCTTTGCCTGAAGGAACATAAGCAGAACGTAAAAGAGCAAGTTAGAGAAAAGTGTTCTCTCACAGAGAAACAAAACAGAAGCCATGACATATTTGGTCCCTAAATGGGAAAGCTGTGACTTTTAATTGGCTACTTACAAGAAGAATATTCTTTTATGTTAATTCTTATTTCAAAAGTACTTAAGTATGTGCTTAAGTCACTTGCTGGAAAAAAGAGGTTTAAAAATGTGCCAGAGAAGTCTGAACTGGCATTGGAATTGTGTTGAATTTCTTATTCATGGTGGAAGGTATTAGAAAAAGTTTGCAGATTCTTTTTAGATTTCATACACCATTCCTGTGTCCTTCTGAAAGGCCATCTACACTTTTTATTCATCAGCAATCACAACAGCTGTCTGTTACAATGGGATGCAACTTTCCATTAGTGTATGTTACATAATGATAATTCACACGATAAGCTCTTATTGGAAGACCACTGTATTTGAAGACAATCCATCTGAGAGGAAAATTCAACTATCTGACTATACGAGGGCACTTTATCAGGGATAAATACAAACAAATGGTGGGAAGCTAAGAATACCTTACAGTGATCTTTGACAATGTCTTAGATGATCACAGGTGATGCTTTTGACCCTAGAACAGCTGAAGCATACCTGACAAAAGACAGGTTCCCTTTGCTGTAGCTGCTCATACTCAAAATACAATCAGTCTTGAAGGCAGATAAGCCTTCTGGACTGTATCTGATCCCTCAGTCTGCCAATTCATTACAGATACACTCTAAGAGTCCGTTTCAAAAGTATCTTATTAAACTAACCAGATAGTGAATGTCTTTGCCTTACTGCACATCAGTGCCGACTGTCATCCTCCATGTACTTCATTATTTATTGGCTTTGGAAGTCCGCAGTGCAGTGAAATAAGCCACCAACTATGGTCAAATGATGCTATTGAGACTCATATTCAGGCAAGATAGTAATGTAGGAAGTCAGGAGCAATATTTCCTGTGCTCTGATTGATATGACTATGTCTCCACATTCTTACTAACCAGAGGCCATGGTGCCAGGTAGACCTGTGCAGGTATCAGGTACTGTGAAATACAGAGGAATCACTTATTGCAGAGCAGTGGATCCCAGGTGAGGAATCCTACCATCCAGCTTCCATTTTGCATAATAGGTCCATGAACTAACTGGATTTTTATTTGTGAAGAAATTTGAAGAGAATTCAGCATTCCATGTCAAGGGGTAAATACTTGTTATCTGAATAGTGTCAGTGTACCATTGTTCATAATGAGAGTACCTTAAAAATTAAGTATATAGAAACCCAGTATCACAAACCCAGCATCAGGACTAGTGGAAAGGTGAAGGGGTTATTTGCCTAGCCATCATTTCTTTTTCTTCTTTGCATATAGATATATATATAAAAGTAAATAAAATAATTTTGTCATATTTGCTGTCTCATGCCTACTGTTATAAGCCTTATATCAGGTCAGTGGCATAGCTAGGTGTACAAACCCCTGTACACATTTGTCTTACCTTTGCCTTTTATCATCCTTGGAGTGATCTCCAGAAGAGTGTAGGCCATTATGTACTTTTCAAAACCTGTCTGATAGCTATAACTCAGGACAGAACCCTTAAAGCATAGCAGAGGTTATCTGTTTAGGTTGTTTTTGCTTCCCTGCCTTCTTTCTTTCTAAAAGTGTAAGAATTTTCAACGTTAAGCATCTGAGAAGAAAACTTAGATTGTGTGTGTTTAATGAAGTTATATATTGATCCAATGCCAGTAATTAGCTTTGACTTGCTCATTGTAATACTTCTTCTGTATAGTATTCCTTATTGAACAGTAAGAATCAAGTATACAGGGAAAGTTTTGCAAATTGTCCTAACAATTCATAAACAAAAATGGAGGAAATATTTATCTGCTGGATTTAATAAATATTTTTATTAGTTAGAAATGTCCTGTTCATTGTAGATGGATAATGTTATGCTAACCCAAAATACCACTAGTTCCCAGAAAAGAAAAAAAACAAATACTGAAGTAAGTTGTATTGGGTCTGGCTGGGATGGAGTTAGCTTTCCCCGTAGCAGCCCTCATAGTGCTGTCCTTTGTGGCTAGAACAATGTTAATAGCACACGAGTGTTTTGGTCACTGCTGAGCAGTGCTTGCACAGCATCAGGGCTGTCCCTCCAAACCCCCCTCCAAGGGTCAGTAGCCTGGGGGTGGGCAAGGGATTGGGAAGGGACATAGCCAGAACAGCTGACCCAAGCTGACCAAAGGGATATTCCATACCATGTGATGCAGTAAAAGCCGGGGAGGGGGGCAGACAGCATTTGTTATTAAGGCGTTTGTCTTTCGGAGCAACCATTACTCGTGCTGAGTCCCTGCTTTCCAGGCAGTGGCTGGAAGTTGCTTGCTGATGGGAAGTGAGAATAAAATCTTTTGGTTTTCCTCTGCTTCTCCACACAGCTGTTGCTTTTCTTTATTAAACTGCCTTTATCTCAACCCATGAGTTCATTTTCATCTTATTTTCTCCCCCCTGTCCTGCTGAGGAGGGGGAGTGATAGAGCAGCTAGGTGGGCACCCAGAGGCCAACCAAGGTCAACCCACCACATAAGTCCTCCAATCCTGTTTCTGTTTATGTACTTCAATGGTCAAATAATGAATAAACAAAGGAGTTGCAAATCACTATTAGAATACTGAGACAAACAAAAGAGAGAGTAACTGCTCACTTTCAAACTAGTAAATGGAAAATAGCCAATATGATAACAAATAGGTTATATATACTCTAGTTAAATACAAATGGTTTTTAATGAAGACAATTATAAACAAATGAAACCTTTTTTAATGTTAGTTTGAGGTAGCTGTTCTTAAGCTTCTATTCTCAAACAGTTCCTTTCACCTTTGAATGTTATGTTTTATCTTCCTGTAAACATGGATTGTTTTTTAGATTGGAAAATTCCGTTTTCCCTGTTGGTAGGAGAATGAATTTATTTGATATGAAAAGTAATTCTGAAGTAATGATATGACATTGGAGGGAACAGTTGAATGACTTTCCCTTGACTGATGATAGCTCTTTTAGTTTTGCTTATCAGAGACAAATAATTGATTTTCTTCCAGTTCCTTTATTGCCACTTCTTACATTGTTATGAAGAAGGGAGTCTCTGTCTAGTGAATTGGAGTGTTATTTAATTATGATGAAATAAAGACAAATAATACTGTACCACCGTTGATGGCTTATTCTGCTTTGCTGAGATAGAAGAAATCAATAATAGTTTGAAGGATATTTCTCCCTCCCCTTGCTACCACTTCACTCCTCAGGTACTTTGATCTTCATCTATCCCTAGGAGACATCATGCCATTGCTGCTGTGCAAAGTGGTGGTGGAGGTAGCAGGACAACTTATTCCTTCAACTCCATGATGTTTTATTTATAGAGGATCAGTAGATATAGATCTGAAAAAGCAAAATTAATAAAGGTTTTAGGCAACAGTGATAAAAGTCTTCACAGAACTAATTTAACAGCAGTTTGGTAGCAAGACGGTGTGAGAGCCGCAGGCAGCTGAACGTTGATAGTTGTGGAAGGTAACAGCCGCCCAGAGAGAATTGAAAAGAGCTAATCAAGGCCTTACGTGTTCACAAATACTGAATTGTTGATATACAGCTCATAAATCAAAAGACGGACCAAACCCCCCCTGGGTTTGCATTAATTAATCCTGTGGTTTAGGGACCAATCTTTGGATTTTCATTGTCTGAATCATGAGACATTCAGGTTGAGAATACTGTAAGAACTCATTTCTTACTGGGTTTAGGGCTTTTGTAATCCTCATCTGGCCTCTACTGTCTTGCCTCCTGCTAGATTCAGCTAATAACCTTCCTTTGTTCCTCTTGTGATAAATAAATAAACTGAAACTTCCATTCAGTTTTCAGTGTTGGCTTGCTGTCTTTGTGAAATGCAAGATAACTATGCTCTCTCTTCCTCGATGGGAAAACAAAAATTGACATCGTAAATATTCAAGCTCAGTTTGCAGTACTTCTTCTCTAGACAAAAGCTACTGTGTTCCCAGCTGTGTTAAATAAAGGACAGAAACAAATTCCTCTGTTTCATAAGTAGGTGGTTTGCTTCAGCTGGCAGTACTTCCCTCTGCCTCTACTTTCTGAAGCCCTACTCCAACACAGCTCTCTCTAATGCTCTTTGAGATCTGAAGAGTCTCTGCTCCCCACCTAGGCATGGCAGTTACCTTCCTCATCTGTGGCACAAAGACGTAGGCAGATGCCTGGTCAACACAGCGTGAATGTCATGAGACGGAGTACTCATGGCAGTGTTGTTGCCATTGTCCTGGTTACTGTGAAGTGACAGCAGAGTGGACATATTTGTATTTCACACTGTCTCTTCTGATACACACAGTGCTTTTATTTTTAGCACCTGTTTGTGGAAATCAAGCCCTCTCCTCATTTTCCAGTACCGAGACATTAGCTCCCCAACCTATTACATTAATGCTAATGATGGTTTTTGTCTACTGTTTATTATTCTGTGAAGTTTCATTGGGTTTTTTTGATATTGATAGCCTAGTTCAAAATTATGCTCATGATCATAGGTTAGTTAAGACTAAGTTTAATACTGTCAGTCAAAACAATGCAATTTGAGTGCATCAAAATTGGGTATTTATTCTTGTAGATCTTTTTTTTCTGTTATCTGGTGAGATTTTTTCTGTGTCTGTAGTCAAAAGAACTTGAAAGTAAATGGAAACATTAACAATTCGTAGAAGCCATCCTTGATTTTATTCAAAAGTAACTTTTCTTTTTTACAGGAAAGTCGAGTGTTAAGGACAGTACCTTTGCTAGCAGCTTGTCTCCCTCCAGACAAATGTAAAATTTTGATTGGTCGACGTTTTAGTGAAGACAGGTGAGCAGCATTGCCTATGCATTTTCTGGTCCTCTGTAACTTATGGAGATACTTTTTTCAATGTCTTTATAAAGAGCCAACAGTGCTCTTAATTTTTGTTTCAAGTGTGCATATTTGCTTTTGATATAAACTGATTTCCAGCAAAGATAAGTTATGTATAATAGTCAGAAACACTTGATATGTCTTCCTCTAGGTTGTAGCTTTTACTGTCTTGGTTTTGTGCTCTTGGCAGCTTCAGGTGGTTACTCTGCAACTCTTAGCTTTTTGCTGTTTTGTTCTAACCTGGAACTAGGTTTGGTCTTGTCTCTATGGTTCTTTTCGTTTGTGCTTTGTCTGACAAACCATTTGGTGTTACTGAAATATAAGTAATAGTTTTTACTTGAGTGTGGGAGATTGAACTTGAGAAGGAAGTCCAGTGGTGAAAAACTCTTAGAGAATGTATTTTTTCAAATCCTTTCCTCTTTCTCTTAAAATTAGTTATAAAAAAGCATAGCTTTCAGATTTATTTTTTTTTTTTATTATTCTGCAACGTTGGACAATATTGGTCTCCCACATAATGCCTTTAATCTTTATTAGATGAAGCTCAGTCTTAGAAACCAGTTCTTATTACAAATGCCAATGAAATTTTACTACATACGTTTTCAATAAAACCAAATAAAAATCATGAATACTGATGAAGGAAATTAATTCTAAAATTGAGTTTAATCTTTGGAGAAAACTTTTGGTAGAGTTCAGTGAACAAAAATGTCAGAAGGTGATTCAGAATGGTGCTCCCACACCTTTGTGCTGCCTGTATAGTAACTAGAGCACATTAGAAATACATTGCTTTTCTATTAGTCTTCTATGATAATAACTATAATAATTATCTAAGAAGTTCCAGGCTACAGGGAAATTGTACTGTTTTCCCATTGAACCTGAAAATGAAGCAGCTTTTCTTAGTGATGTGCACAGGGTAGAACACTATCAATAGTCTGCTGTAAATCACCGTAGAATTTTTTTACAAGTGATGATTACAGTATTAAAGCTTCTTCAAGTTTGAATCCAGAGATATTTCTCTAACCTAAAGGATCCTCTTTAGATCAAAACCAGTTGTGGAACATCTCAGCCTCAAAATAGTTTAAATATATTCATAATTACCTAGTTCCTATGAGGTTTTTTTGCCATAAAACATAGTGGAGGTGGTGAAAGAAATGAAAGTTTTCCTTAGGTTAATATGAATTTTGGTGATCTGACTTACCCAGATGCAGGGCTACAAGTAAGTAGGTAGTAGTCATGGCTCCACTCTAAGTACCTGCAGTATGCCTGCTTTGTGCTGTGGATGTGAGACTGCAGAAATCGGGAGTGCTCAGTCATGGAGTTCATTCCCACCTTTCTGGGAGGAGGAAGGATGAGAAGGAGAGAAAAGTTATTTTCCAGCTTTGCAATGTATTATGTCTACATTTTTTTTTTTCTTTGCTATATATGCCTTCTGTCAATGTTTTAATCCATATTCCTCATTTGTAACTAGCACTTGGTACTTGAATAGCTGGTTAGAGGATCAAATGAGCGGTATCTTGGACTTCTAGCATCCTTTCAGGCCATAAAACTGGTTAGATGTGTTCAGAGAGCTCACATTAATCACCTGGAATGACTTAAGTTCATTCTCTGTTGTGGTATGTTCTAGGAACAGGCATCTGCAGGCAGGGATAGAAACATCTTAGTGTTTACCATGAACAGGGAGGGCTATACTAGTCCCTGCCCTCCTCTTAGGGTGAAAATCTCTGCTAATGGGACTTTTAAAGCCTCATAAATTGCAGTGGATCAGCTCATGTTTTATGGTATATTAAACTAAACAGGGCTTGGGTTTTTTTCTGGTTTTCTTAAAAGCCACGCTGTCTGTAAGCAATTTGGTAGCTGCCATACAAGCAACTTAATCATCCTTGCCCTGTATCTGGGGAAGACTTCTTTTTTTTTACTTTGAAGAAAAAAAAAATTATTAAAGAGTGCTTGCTGATACATTTTGTAAGTATCATTGTTTTGAATCACATTAAGGCCATACCTTTGCTTTTTTTGAAGTTGTGTGATATGATTTACATCCTTTGCAGCATCCACCAGAAGTGCATGGGTTGGAAGGGAATAGAAACAGTGTAACTCTAAATCTGTGCTTGCACTGATCTTGCATGTGAACAGTGCCAGCAGATGGAAGGGTAATGTGGTGCACACGTTCTTTCTCTGCATACATGTAGAAGCCCTACCATGCAGCAGGTCTAGGAAAGTGATGTCCTTGATGGTTGCCCACACATTTGTAAATTATCAAAATAGAATGGTAGTGGGCATACTTGAATTATCACAGGATCCAGCAGCTCTTGGCAACAGCTCTGAAAGCTAAGAACACTTCAAGGTAGCCTTTGGGAGGATAAATAATTGTGATTATGGATTTGAGTGAAAATTAAGCCACACACAGCAGCTGATTGTTTTTTTTTTTAGTCTCCATCACAACATCTCTAGCAGTGGCATACCAACCAGCAAACTGTTGTTAATCTGTAGCTGTCAGAAGAGGTCTGCTTTCAGGTGAGAACGAACGTACCATCTGATCTGGGTAGCTCTTTCAGTCTTTAGTGCCCCTCTCTTGAAGGGGAAGGCCAGTTTATTACCCAAGTGTATGTAGGTTATTTTTCCTCATTTGTCCTAGTGCTACAAAATTAAATTTTTCCTATGCTTTGTAATCAGCATCCAAAACTGATGAGGAGCACAGAGGAATTTCATAAGGAACTCCACACAGAATTGGATACTACAGAGTAAGTGAGATGATTTGAAAGCTTAACATTTAGGCCTCTTGATGTTTGTGACAGTAAGACTGGAAATCAGTGTTTTTTTTTTTTTTTAACTTGTGTGTCTGTAAGGAACGGCTGTTTTACAAATGGATATAAACGTCGGCTTTTTTTTTTTTTTTTTTTTTTTTTTTTAGCATTTCCTCTACCTAGTTCCACTCTTGGGTCACCTTTTCTTGTGGTTGAAAACTGATTCACAAATTATATAGATTACGCGTACCTTATTCTTGATTGACCTATATTGCAGAAAAGCTAAAGAAACAACTTTTGGAAGTCTTTACAGAAGTGAACAGCTAATCAAAGCTTTTTGAAGTTGATATCTTCAACATAAAAGTAACACAGTAATGGTAAAGATGAGAAGTGATTAATCCAATTATTTTTAAGTGCTAATTTATGATTTTACCCAGTCTTGTCCATTCTTCCTGCAATCTGGCATTCTCATTCTACGGAAAGCGTGTAATGTTTGCATGGTGACTTGACTCATCAGATGGCACTTCTGAATTGAAAGACCAGTTCTGTTGGTTATCTGTGGTGGTTTTTTCCCCCAAGTACTCAAAGACACTAACTTCTGACCTTTTCTGTATTATTACATTATTGTCAGATAGGGTTAATCTTTGACGTGCTAAAATGATTAAGCTGACAGTGAACAATTTGGCATGAGTACTTACTGAACAGTGGTATTGTAAAAATAGCACTTTTTTGAGTTGTTAATATTTTCTGTTCAATTCTTTTTATAGATTTACAATGAACCCAGTATCATAGTAGCATGGCAGGCAGGGGTGTGGGAGGGTGGAGTTAGCATCATTGCCAGAGACTAAATTTTATGTAAAAGTGTAAAATACTTCTTTGTGTGTCTGACATACCTTATTAATATAGATGCTGGGCCTGTTAAATATAGGCACCTTTTAGACATTGGCTAGAACAACAGCAGAAGCAAGCAAAGGGCTCAAATCACTTGTACTGAAATTTTCAAAACTTCTATGCAAAGCAAGCTTCCTTACTTGCACAAGGTCAGGCTGATTCTGTGGTAACTGAGTTTACACTCCTGACTTCATGAAGTGACCACATATCATGTAGCGGACACTGAAAAACTGATAGTAAGGATCAGCCAGACCTACCAAAACACTGTGGTAGGACTCTGGTTAATTTCTAAAGTGGCAGTAATTTCAGTTATTTCTGTTAATTTCTGTTATAAGGATGTTGTTTTTGTGGTATTGATGCTGCAAAGCATAGAAGTATATAGAATGATTATAACCTTGACAAAATACGTTTTACCGATAAATTTGACTAGAGACTCTTCTAACAGCCTGTGCCTTAGATTTTTGAACCTTCTAGAAAGAAAAATGTGAAAGTTAGTGTATATTGATATCTTAGAATATTTTTATCCTGTATTTGTGAAACAAATGGATTTTTAACTGTTTGTAATAGTTGTAATGTGTGTAACTTAATCACCTTCATTAGGAATGGTAGGAAAATGCTTATATGCATTTTTTTTTTTCCATTGTAGCCATTTTATTTTGTTCCTCTCTTTTTTTACTCCTGTCCTGGCTGTCAGCATTCAAATGTGTATAACTTATGCATAATTTCCTTTCCCTTTTCCCCTGCCTTCTTTGGTACCTTCACATGTTAGAGTTTACAGATGTACAAATCCCTTACTGTTTTCATTAGCTACCACCTATCCAAGCCCTTCGTGTGTGACTTAAGATTTCTAGATCTTTCTTAGTTGATGGTATCTCCAATTCTCTAGCATTAGTTAGGATAACTTCTGCTTCATAGTTCTTGATCAAGACCTTTTTTTTATTAAATCGGTATCTCTGATTCAGCACTTCTGCTTATCAAAGGCGTATATAGTTCTTCAAAAGTAATATTCTCTTAGATTTCTAAATACTCCCACCTCCCTCTTGCGTAATTTCCAGCAGCTTCATCCTTTCTGCTCTTACTCAGTTGTCAGATGGTTTCCAGTTTATCAATATTCATTATCGAGATTATCAGCCCCAAAGCTGCTTCCTGTCCTCTATTGGTATGACTGACCTTCCCGTCCATGGCAGAACTTACTTTCTGTGCTCACCTTATTCTCTCCTCCTTCAATTCTGCTATCTTTGCAGCTAAGCAATTCTAAATTTTTATTTAAGTTAACCCAGTGTATTTTGCAACCTACAATGCCATGATCAAGACTTAATTTCTTGAAAC